TTTTGCTTTGAGATAATAGTCGGTCTATAAGAATTGCACCCGAAACCCTAAAGCAGTTAGGACCCATTGACATCAGATCCCCCAAGCCTGAAGTGAACTCACGCCTGACCTTGACAGGCGTTTAAATAGCCATGAAGGTTTCCCTTCTCGTGGTAAAGGTTGCTACAGCCGATGCTGATTTTGGCCTCCGTTTGAAACACAGGTGCCAGCATACACTCGCTGCAGGCTGCAAATTTTGAAAAGGGCAGCCGGGCCTACGTTTGTATACATATACTGAATCCTGAGAAGTACGGATGGACGTAACAGGTAAAGCCATGGCTACTCAAACTCTCGCTTAATGAAGCCCTCCTAAATCCGAAACGCTAAGGCCTGAACCGGTTTGGCAAAAAAAGAGCCCAAACTATCGGCAAAATTGGCCCTCCAAAACTGACAGCATGATGCCAGGAGAAAGCAGGCAAAAACCAAAGTACAACGAACCAACCCACTAGCAATTATAACCAAGTAACTGCAACTTACCCCCCTACATGAGTGATATATATATATATATAGACATACATACATACTCCTCCGAAGCTCGAAACTCTGACCAAGCTCCTGCTCGTGTAATTACTGCAAGAAAGGACCCGCTTGCGATTCTTTAGCTGTGAAGTTTAGGCAGACGGTGTTTGTTAATGTTTTCGGGCTTAGGGTTTCAGCGTCTCCACAGCTCAAGGCGGCAGGGCTTTATAAAAATTAGAGATTTAGGGTTCCGGAGCCCAACTTCGAGGCATTCCGAAGCCCATGATGAATACAAGAAGAGCCTGAAGGAATTGCAAGCTGCTGATTCCGAAGCCCTCAATCATGCCACGGAGCGGATGGTGCGGATAGAAAGGGTCGTAGACGCACTAAGTTCAAACATCCAGCACAACACTCTTTATCTGCAATTCACTGATTGTTCGAGTCACGCGAGCTGCAAGCGGCTTTGGGATAAGTAGAAAAGACGCAACAGGACGGCAAACGAGTAGGACGCGCGTGTTGCACTCAGAAATCGTCATGAATTGTTCCAATAGGTTCAGGGTGGGAGACCTTCTCACTTCAAAGAGTATGTCGCAACCAAAAGAGATTTCGCAACCGGCGGTGTTCGGCTAGGGCAGCCTGCTCGGCTGCACCAGATAAGTCCCAAACACATTTTTAGGAGGGGCTGCAGCGCAGATGCCCTCATGCCTAGCCTGCCGCCCTACACGTCCAGACTTCCGGCGCAACGCCGTTCATGTTCACCCCCCAAGCCCTGAAGACCCCTAAACATCCCTAAAGCCTACGAACCTTAAGGAACTCTGAAGCCCTAAATTCTTAGAACAAAAATCCCAGATATCTGCAGCCCGGGGCTCCCGAGGCAAAGCGTCTTCCCAGCCTCCAAAGGGAACGAGGCAATCCAGGGTATTCAGGTTTGGGATTTTGAATCGAAGGAATTCAGGGTTTGGGATTTTGAGGGCGGGGGGGAGGGGGGTCTTGCAATTTGTGAGATTGCTCGCGGGGAATTTTAAGAATGTTGCATTACATTGCGTTGCATTACATTGCATTGCAGTACATTGCTTTACAAACAAAAAATTATATATATATACTGCAGCACAAAGCCCTGTGTTTAATTTTATAACGTTAGGATCCAGCTCCTTGTGCAAGAGCGGCGCGCCAGCAGGGTTGAGCAGCAGCTTCCAGGCGTCTCACCGTCTTCCAGGGACGAAGTTTGGACGGTGTTGGATTGCGGATTTCGGGTCTAAGGATTCGGGTGGAGGCTTCCAACAAGGAGGCTCTGGCTTACAGGGTGTAGGGTTTCAGGGTTTGTGATTTGTTGAGTCTGACTTGATTTGCCGGCTGTTGGAAGGTTTGACCTTTTGTTGGGATCATCATTCTAATTTCGCCATGACCGACAACACCAATGCTCGACACCGTGCCCCGAACTCACCATCACCTGAAATCACCGGGCAACTAACTGAATGTCAACTCTTGATCTTCAAACTTCCCCTGATTAGAGGCATTCCGCGCGGGCCGCGGCCTTGGGCACTGAAACCCCTTGCCAACCACCCCCCCCAATTAATGGCAACCCGCGTCCCTGGAGCCTCCCAAATTCAATTCTGGTCTTCAGGCTTGGCGTGGGTTTGGGATTTCCTTCGGATTTTGTGTTTCTTAATTACAAGTTATTTGGGGGCGGCCGATCTGGACCACTGGCCGGCCTACCTTGCAGGGGGGGGAGGGTTGTTAATCAAGAGTTCCCATTATTAAGACTTAAGTCATGCGAACTTTCTGGCACGAAAAGAATAATAAAGTAGCTTTGCTACACTGCCACCTCCGCAAGCTGCAAACTATGGATGTCAAGTCGAAGCGGTCCAAGCCTAGTCTAGTGCCCGACTTCGTCACGTGACCGCCCGGCCTCCCGCCAGATCTTGAATGCCCTGCTGATATTTCCGCAGTTCACATCCGGACAAGATAAGCGCATGGAGATCATCCTGAGGACGAGGGGGGGGGGGGGTTCCAAAAGGTCTCTCCTCTGACAGGACTTATGCTGTGAAGTCGAGGATGCTAGCCATCGACGTGTTGCAAAGGGTCCATGCAGTTACTGTGTCCAAGCCAAGCAGCAACCCAAGCCCACAAAACAACCACTTGTCCAGGTACTTATATCCTACAACCCCCACGTCCCCAACTTGCAAACCTGCAATTGCTCAAAAAACTGGACTACTTGATGCCTCCAGGCACAAGGCTCTCATGGCTAAGGTTCGGGCTGCAGTCGAGAAATACTTCCCCAATATTCCACAGAAATGAAAGGCCTAACTTTCCGATTCCTACAAGAACCCAAAACGTTTCAAGGTTGGGTATCGGGGATCTAAGAGAAGGCAGAAACATAGTTCTGAGTGTTTCGATTCTGAATTCTTGGGTTTTACGAGGCAGATGCCTACGATTCTCTGTCTCTGACATGATCTGCGACAGAATACGAGTAGCCCGGAAAAAAACACGGTTTGATGCTACAACCACATAAGGCCCAACCACATAATGTCTGTAAGCATGTGTGTTTGTACGTATGAATGCATATTCAAGTTCGCACGCACAACCATGAGTCTGATCGTGTACCTAGTTTAGCTTTGGTGCAATGTTCATATGAAAAACCGTTGGTGTGCTACGCCATGTGCGTGACAGCACACAGCATCAACATTTTTGGCCATACTGAAACCGATCGGCAAACAAAAGGAAGAGATGTCTGCAGAATGCTGGAGCCACTTGGCGCTTAAATTCGACCCCGAACCGCAAACCTAATAACTATAATCCCTGAACCTAAATTCCAAAAACCGGAAGCCTAAAACGAACTCATCTTCGTCCAAAAAGAGGAAAGTTGCAAACCCTCAACCTTAAACCCGAATCCCCACCTAGACTGGGCCTGTCTTAGGCAGGAATAAAAAAAGAAGAAAGGATACTTTGATGGGCGGGCTCCCTTTTAACATAACTAGGCCTCAAAAAGAACGTTACTGCAAAGAGCCCGAAAAACCTTGAAAGATAGCACTTGTAGAACCACCGTGATAAAACCAAAACGCAACACCAGAGTCTCGGAAACCTTCATAACTGTAACAAAGTTTCCAGGCTTTGTGATTGAAGCTTCGCCCACTCCAGTCAGCAACCACCTAGGCTCGGGTACTTGGTTCAAACGGCGGCGTTGAAACTTAGAATTTAATAAATTTGAATTCTGTTGCTCAGTGCACAAAGGCTTCACATCGGGGCTTTTCATTTAATGGGCTTAATGGTTCCAAAAATCAAGGTAGAACTTCGGGTCTATATTCAGGTGTCCTATTTCCGGGTTCTGAGAAGCTAGATGTTTAAGGATCAAGCTTTAAATTAAGATTGAGGAAGTTGGGGCCCGAGCTTGGACACATCCGGATTGTCCCGTGCATACGGCTCCACTCACTTCTTGGATAGATGACGACATCATGCGGTGTTTTACTGGCGGAAGTATCGGGGCCAAGTGTGTATCGAGGTATACTCTGTAGGGATTTTAGTCTACAGGATGAGGCTGCTGTCACCCAAACCACTAACGCAATGGTAACTGTGGGTGGCCCAAGAACTTGGGGATGCAAATCACGGGGACTTTCTGAAGATCCCCATTCCAATGCATGTGGTTCCACCCCCCGGATTTTCTGGACCACGTGCAGCAGAAATTGAACGGTTCATGTCATACAAGCTACAAAACCTTGCCCCTGAATTGTAAACAAAAACATATTCGTGCCAAGTTTCCATCAGGAACCTCTCCAGCTTCGTCCTTAGAGCTGAAAACACAATTTCATGCCCCTAAACTGCATCTGTGGGCTCTTCTGTCCTTCTAAACGCGTGCCGTGGCCTCAGAAGCTTCCGACTGTTGTTTTTTGCGGTCTACTACCCCATGGCTTCTTCGCCAAAAGCATGACCCAGCTTCCAAGCCTCGTTGAGAAGCTTCCCACATCTGACCGGCTGCAGCTACAGTCATTGCAGAGGCCCTGGTATCTGAAGTCTGAAGGGTACGTGGACGCCTGGCCTGAGGATTCATACGCAATACACGCTTTTACGTGACGGTCTGCCTTGCTTTGCCATAGCGAGGTTCGAACTACCTCTAAGGGGCCCATGTACCCAAATAGTATATACTTTGGCCCCCAAAGTACCTATATAGGGACTACTTTAAGGGGTACATGGACCCTTAGGGTACTAAGACAGCTTTCGAGGTTGATGTGATCGCTTCCAGACATTCAGCGCTCGTCGGCAGCCCCCTCCTCGCGGAGACGCTGTTGCTCGGCTTCGCGCTCCGTATGCTATGGTTCAGGGTTTAGGGGTTTAGGGTTTAGGGTTGGGCCGGGTTTATGGGGTTCAGGGTTTAGGGTTTAGGATCCATTTGATCAGGCAAAGCCCACGGAGTTCTGAACATCGTAAACAGAACGCCGCAAATCCGGAACCCAGCACAAAGGGCACAAAGTGCCCAAGCTACAGCTCTTATTTGCTAGCTGAGTGGCACAGACTGCACGGCTTCTGCCATCTTCGGAAGGACGAAATTCCTGAGAGCAGACCGGGGAAGCAGCTCGTACCAAGGGTAAATATTACGGCTCACTGTAATTAGAACTGGGACTTACAAGGAACCGCCCGGCATGCTGCTAATTGTTCAGACCCCCCCCCCCTATTGTGGTCTCTGTGGGCTGTCATGTCACTGGGTTTCGAGAAAACTGTCGACAAGTGTTGAATAGTTTAAGACGGAACTACCCCGCCAAATCCAACCTCTTCGAGACCACTGAACGTGGCGCTGAAAGGCTGCAGCCAAGCTTCACAACATCGACCTTGAACTGAAGAGGAATTCCTTGTTCCACCTTCGGCCACACACGAAGGGAAACCGGTTGCCTTCTATCCGGAGAGGGAGCGGTGTAGACTCGCTGAATAAGGCTCATATGTCCTTCGACTCAAGCTTACACACCCTAAGTATGACACTTTAGGCAACCCCTGAGCTTAAAATTCCAAATGCCACCGGATCCTGGAATTAAGCACGGCCCGGCCTGCTTGTTTTCGTACCGACTTTCCACCTGGATCCAAAACGCACGCCAGCCGAAACTCTGCACTGAACAAATCCCCAAGTCCCGAAACCCTAAACTCTCACTAAGCCCCGACTCTCGAAAACCCGATGTCTAACAATCCCGCAATCCTGTGCGACATGATGCGAGTCTTGGGTTTTTGAGGGTCGCCTTGCCGCCTCCCATCTGTTCTAAGGGTTCTTTGGGGTCCAGTGTCCTAGCTGCTTGAGGGTCTTTATGGCTTTTTCGGGTTGAGGTTTGCTGTAGATCCTGCATCGTTGGTGGCATCAGCAAGTCGGCCCGGCCTCCTGTGTCCGGATCTGGAAACTGATGTAGATGTAGGGCCTGGCTTCGACACACAGTGTCGGACAACATATGATTGCCAATGCGAAGCTTGGTCTATGTACATATATGGAACGACAGAGCCACAGCAACACGCATCGCATCTCAATCACAGAGACGATACTTCATCGCAAAAGGAGCAGCCTTCTGTCCCCTCACCCTAACTCTGCGGGCCAAAAATGTCAATTCAAACCTTTTCCTACCATCCCCCCTCCAGCAAAGGGAACTGAACCTCCAACCCCAAAGCCCTACACCCGCGAGTGTTCCCTCACAGCTCTAAACCGATCGAAAGAGCCTTGTCACTTCAGGGCCTCTTATAGATCCCCTCAGAGGCCGTGAAGATAAAGCCTGAACGTTCTTGAACCCTAAACCCGAAACCCTGAAGCCTAGACCCTGAACCTTGAAACCCTAGGCCCTATAAGTCCTAAGCCCTAAACCCTAAATCCTGAGCCCTCAAGCCCTAAACCCCCCTAAATCCTGAGGCCCAAAAACCCAAACTCCCCGGCCTCAGGTTCTGCTTCGGCAGGCTCTCCCGCAGAAACGTCGGGACCTGGCCTCTGAAGACCTTGTACACCTGCATGGCCAGATCCAGGCTTCCCTTTAAGGGAGAAATGAACCCTAAAAGGTTTTAGGGTTCAGGGTTTAGGGGAAATGAACCCTAAAAGGGTTTAGGGTTCATATATACCATATAGGGGTTCATAGGGAAAGGTTTTAGGGTTCATATACCATATACGGATTCGTAGTATGAAGGGTGTAGGGTTCCTACTTGTAGGCGTCCTTCCGTCCTTTTAGGGTTGAGTGCTTTTTGTTGAGGGGGGGAACTCCTCGCTGCAGAGGATAGGTTTTAGGGTTATAGGGTTTACATATAGGGGTTTAGGGTTTATAGGGGTTCAGGGTTAGGGTTATAGGGCTATAGGGGCTCTTGGGGATTTGCGTTACGCAAGGTTTACGATGCTGTCTGAAGCCTTGAAGCAGGCACTAGGGCTAAGGTGGCTTTGCCATCTTGCACGCAGCGAGGTTACAGAGCTCCCATGACACTACGATTTCGGCCTCTGGACTGAAAACTGTGCAACTTTGGAAAACCATGGCTCCCGACTTGCATAAACCATGAAGGCGCAGACTAGCACAGAACCCACTGAACCGTCAAAGAGCACATCGCGTTTCTGTCCTTTCTGTCCTTTCATTGCCAAGAACGTTCCAGAAGTAACCCGAGGCCCGAGGCTTCCAAGAGCACCTCATGAGGCTAAAATGCACACCAAGTGCACCTCAACATATGCACGAGGGCGCACGCAGAATCATATGCCCCACTCGCTTTGTTCACCGAGCGAAAAAAAACATCTGGTGTGAGTGTAGGGGGGGGGGGTGGAAAATTGTTGTCTGGTTACGGCCGCGAAAAACTGAGGTAACAACAGCCCGGACTTCCCTTCAGGTCTACCCGAAATCCTGAGGTGCCCCCGTAAACTTCAGGCCACTCAGGTTCAAGGCCAGGTACCTGCTCGAAAAGGTCGTACTCTTCCTCTGGTGTCTGGACCAGCCTTACGTTCGATGGCTTCAGCGTGCAAGGGGGGCTTACAGTGCCGACTTTTCGACTCTCACACTCGCACAAGGCAGGCAAGGCTCCACCCCATTCCGGGTAATGGTACTGATTGATACATCCGCCTTCCAACCGTGATCCTAGCTGGCAGCAAGGCAAACAAAGGAAAAAGGACGGGTCCGCATACACGACCAGGAAGGCGGCGGGGGTCGGTTGAGTCGGCCAGGATTGTCCCATGCCCTTGATTCTGAAAGGCAAGCTTTCAGGGTCCTAAAAAGTTTTCATGTGGCTTTGTCTCGGCTGACCATCGGAGACTGGCAGGCGCAGGGAGCGAGGCCACAGAAAAAGGGAGCGGGGGTATAAGCTTTGACTTCGAAAATCCTCCGGAGTCAGATCCCATGTTGCAATCTGCAACATAAAATGCCCTAAACCCTGAACCCTCACGGGAAGTGGTCCAAGAGCAGCTCATGGGGTCGCTACCCGGCCTTGATTAAACCAGGAGGTATGGGCTACGCGGACCGCTCTGGCAAGGCTGATCCGAAATCCATCTGGCCATGGGCTTATGTGACCCCCAAAAGCCCTAAACCCCTAAATTCCAAAGCCTGAAAGGGCTAAGGGGTATTTGTATGTCAAGTCCGAGGAGACAAAACAACATTGCGAGCGGGCTGAGGTTGGCACCACATGAGGTCCTTGGCCCGAGGAGGTGCGAACCTCGCAGCTTGCCCACCGCAACACGTGACGGCTTCTGAGCGGTTGTCATTTTCTTGTGCAGGGCAAACATGGGGAGCCCATGCCCGTGGCAAGTTGTTGCGTGAGAACCGAAATGAAATCATTCCAAGTTCTTTCGACTAGTTCGCAAATTCAGCTCATCATTGCATGTCTTGCACCTGCTTAACTAGGCATCTCAGCAAATACTGAGGCCACAAAAGCCACGCAGTCGGAGAGCCAATCGCGATGCCAAGGAAGGGTGAAGAACCTGAAGGGAAACGCAGCAGCGACTGGTGCCGCTGCTACTCGGTCTTGCTAGCGCATGCGTCTTACAGGGTTTTGTGCAAGGTGAGGGAGATCGTGAAAACTACGATTGCGCTAGACCAAACTTGAATGTTCCCTAAAGTGGAAATTGCAAGGAAGTCGTGTTGTCTTAATCTTGGCTGGCTTCGGACCGGTGACTTATTATTGGCTATAAGTTGCTGAGCCCTGCGGTTGTCAGAGATCTCCATAGCCTTTTTGCTCTGCATTGTTGGGTGCTGCTAGCTGAAGCCAGATCTTTGGGCTCACTCTATGGGTCACCATGATTTGAGGGTTACTTTCAGGGTTCTCCCAGGGTATGTTAAGGATTGCAGTTAAAGGATCACATTCAGGCAGCTTGACCGTTACCTGCTCTTCGTCTTGTTACATGCTACTCTGTGATGTTGCTATCTTAAGGATCCTTTGCTAGCTGTCTTCAACGCCATGGCCGCTACTGTCATCCGCATTGGAGTGCCTTACATTCTAAAGATGCTACCAGGTTTGCTGGCCGAGTTGCCTCGCGCCATCCGGGTGGACACCATCTTTCCGACAGTAGGCCTCGGTTTGAAAATTAAGGGTTGGTGGTTGAGGGTAAGCTGCCCGGTAACGTTGTCAAGGGGGTTTACAGATTACAGGGTTCTTAATAGGATTATAAGTATGTAACAGTATGTAGAAGGGTTTCAGGGGCAGTCGGATGGGTACGTCACTCTAAAGATCCGGTTCAGGGCCGGGGGTTTGGTTTGGCGTCTGGGCCCTGGGGCCTAGGGACCAGGGCACTTATAATTCACTTTGCAATTGTGATTCTGATTGATGGTGGGGCAATGGTACGGTGAAGTTTGTCACCAGGCTCTTATTGAGTCCACTGATCCCCTGACTACACCATAAAAACGATGCTTTGTTATTTAAAAAAGGCAGGAAGCGCCTTAGACCCTATTACTACTTTAAGGATCAGGAATCCGAAGCTCAGAAGCCTTGCAGGGGTTCTTAGTGTTGAAAGTGTGGGCCTTTAGGTACATCCTTGCACTAAAAGTGCGCACTGGGGAATAAAACCTGGCAGAAGGTGTAGCTAAGAGCAAGGAAGCCAAGCCAGCAAAGGCCAAGCCTCAACTGGCAGCCCTAATCCTCAAAAGCATTATAACCCTAAACCCTAAATCCTAAACTAATTATAGTGGGCCAGTAAAAAAAGGAATTGATAAGGGCACCAAGGGCAAGAGTCGTCGAAGCGCTCCTTGATGCGCAGAACTTCACCTCAGAACGAGAAAGCAAAGCGAACCTACACGTACAGCAACGCCCAGTTCCACTCTAGGGTTTATAAGTTTATATGATTTTGGGACTACATTTAGGGTATGGGGTTCCGGGTCTGGGCGTTCTGGATGTTAGGGCTTAGGGCTTAGGGTGCAACAGCAAACAATACATCACAGGTCGGTCCTCAAAGCAGTCTTGCGTTGCATATCCGAAAAAAATTGCACCCTGAGCCCGCCTGTCATGTGATTTGGTTTACAATCGAGACTTTGGGTGGTGGGTTATTTACAACCGCGACTTTCAGACGCTAGCTGCTAGCTGATGCGAGACAAGTCTCTCTCGTTGTCGAAGGTGGTGAGGCCTCTGTAGGTCCTTGTTCAAGGGCAGCTTGAGGGGAAATCTCGGACGTGAACGCTTTCCTACAGCAAACCAAGGCAAGATCTGTGAAGATGTGAAAACAAGGGCAGGCGAAGGAGCCAGGGCGGCAGTATCAGCACGTACAGTGGCCAATAGCTGCCAAAGAAAAGGATCTAGAAATGTCATCAAAAACAAGCATTTGTGTGGATTTCACAGAAACTTGCTCCCAACCCCGGTTGCTGCCGTCCTTTGGGCCTCTTCAGAGCAACGCTGCGCGACGCTGCATGCGTAGGCGGGCTCTTGGCTACCGCAAGGCCGCGGTCTTTCACAAGACAGTGTCCTACCGCGTGCCCTGGCGGAGGAAGAGTGCGCGAAGTGCAGCCACAGGCCGCCCCTGACCCACCACGGGACCACTTTCTTTCGGACGGAGACATGCATGTACACACATGCACACGGTGTCGAGTCTAGTTGTCGCAGGTGGCGATCGCACTGAACACACGATCCTCCTCGCACATCGCATCAAGTTGGTGAGGCGCTGCAAGTATTGCACCCACAAACTCCCGAACACTTCGCAGAGTTTGTTTATCCATCTGTCTGTCGATGCTCATGCCTTCACTCAATAAAGTGTCACATGATCTCTCTATTCAATCATGTTTGCCGCACCCCATCTGATTTTGATGCTTTTGCATTGCGCAAGTCGCTGACACACAAGCAGGGCCGTCATTAGTACTTTTATCCCCGATAGAAATGTACTATCCATCCTCACCCCTGCTGCCATGCTGAACTGACTATGGGAGTCTCCGAACACACAGGAACCTGCTATGCCCAGAGCAGCTGGGCACGTATTGCAAGGATAATTTAAGCCAAACACATCTGTAATATTATGAGTCGACAGCGAACACTGTTTACGGTCTAATCTTCGAACGCCTGAATCTTGAGAAGACCCATTCTCCCCAGCTCGGCTAAGGCCTCACAAGCGCGAGCACGCTTCGATTCTCTGGCCACATCGCACGCTTGGCGGATGCCCTACTAGGGCCTATGACGGTTGTGGCACACCCTAGGCTGTTTTCAAGACACTCACGATTGAGCAGACACGATAAACCTTCGAGCTTTACTTTCTGTAAGCATTGTGCAGAGACTGCACAAATGACGGGGTCGTCATGTGCCTCTTTTGCGTGAACACGCGCAGTATGAGGATTCCAAAGGATGGGTCCATGCTCCTGCCGCATGCTTGATGATATGGCGTAGTGAGCACTGCCTATCGTGTTGAGATGGGCTGAGCTTCTGCAAAAGTTGTGTGAGACAGCAGCGCATCTGAGCAGGCTCATGGACTAGCTTTCGTGCATGACCCATGTGGAACCGAATATACCTGAAAGCCAAGCGCATGGAGAGCCAGACAGCAACAGAACAACAAGGATTTTCAGAAGATTGCCAAAGGCTCAAGTAAGCTTTGCAGGAACTTAGTCGACGCTCGGCTTAGGATGCTCCCTGGATGCAGTAGAGGTGGCTTCAGGCCATGAGGACAGAGTTTCAGAGAGATCTTGGCGCCCTGCTCGCCTTTCTTCGACTTTTGCCATGTCGATGGCCTCTCAGGTGCCGTAGGGTGCAGGGTCCAGGGGTTAATTGCAAGGCTTAGGGTTTCAGTTGTTCTACCAAGGGTCTCGCAGATCTTCAGCTCTTAGATGACCTGCGAAGCTCAGGAAAGGGAACTGGCTTTTGTCATTGTGTAGGAAGCTTCTTCAAGTTCTTGATTGGTATGGTCGCGGTACAATGCCCCTCGCAATATGCTCGAAAAAGGCTAAGGGATGGACATAGACTCTATCTATCTATCTATCTATCTATCTCTATCTATCTATCTATCTATCTATCTATCTATCTATCTATATATATATATACATACATATGTTTATAAATAGAGATAGGCACAGTAGGGGATGCAAAGCAAACATCCGAATGCGCAAGGAGTGTGCATAGCAGCACCAGGTGCTCAAGCCGCAGCTTCCTTTAAGAGTTCAGGGGTCTAGGGGATCTATGGGCTTTTAGTCTTCACCTCGGCAAGTCGCATAGTGGAGTTTAGAGGGAAACCACTGAGAAGCAAGAGCTTGTGGGCCCGTGGGCATTCTCCAGCTGTCAGCACCAAACAGTAGATTTCAGAACGCCTAACATGTCTGAAACGCGCGAAGGTGTATGCGAAAAGCCATAATCCCCGAACCCTAAACCGCCTAGTTACCCCAAAACCCTGAACCCCACGCCGTAAACTCCAGCATCCTGTCCACCAGCCTGGTCAGAGTAGTTCATGCCTTTATCCCAGGCCTCTCCACGCAGGCCACCAAAGTGGCTGAAGATCACTCCCCGATGTTTGTTTTTTGAGGCTTCTACAGCTGTCGGGAGCTCCAGGTCAGAAGATGCGTTGGATCTTGATGGGTTCGGGGCTTTTACATGGCAGCGTGGCATGCTGTAGAGGCCTCGATCAGTGACTGGGCTTTGATAGTTTGGGAGGGGGGGGGGGGAATGTAAGGGCCTTAGCAATTCGACTGGGGTCTTGTTGTATATTGTAAGTATAGGATAGGGACATAAAGCAAGTTTCCTGGCAATGCTTCAGACCGCGAATCCCGGCGGACACCTTCGGGCATCTATAGTCGACGCAGAATTTGAGTTTCAGCGAGTTCCCACCCAGCTGTCTCGGCGTTCCAGGACCTAGCAGTCTGTAATGATTGGGTTGTTCTGTCGGGGCCCGCCCAACCTGCTGATGAAGAGACCATAAGGGGAATTGGGAATATCCGAGCTTGCCACCTTCACAACCGTCTTCCCCTCTTGCTGAATGCGACCCGAGTCCGCTTGTGTACATTAGGTATCTTACTTTTTCTTCGTTGTCTTAAATACTCCCACATCTAAAACTAGGAAGCCAAACACCCAAAATCTCTGACAAACTAACATGCCTGGCTTTTCCACCTTTGCAGACTGTAGCAGATCCAAGCCTGCATGAGGAACATCATCCGCAGCTGCCGGGGAGAATGCATCCCCAGAGCTTGGCGAATCCTCAGTTGCTGAGGCAGCCAGGAAAGTGACGAGAAGGACTTGCCATTATCAGGGGATCAGGCTCGCAGATCATGCGTCAGATTGTTGCAAAGGTGCTCTGACGCGAGCTCTGAAGCATCGTGAGCCCTAAACCCCCTGTCCAAGGTGCGTGATAAAGTTCTTGAGGGACTTTGACATCTTCAGTCCTGCTCATGCCGGCCAGGAATGCTCGAGTCCAGGTCATCCAGAGACCCAGATCTACCAGTTCCGAAAACAGCGACGAGGCGGCTATATATTTTCGGAAAATGATGCTGTGCAGCATTGCCTCAAGCCTGGCATGCCGAATGGTACAAAATTTGGGGACATTCGACGTGCAAGCAAAGGCAACAGGATACCCTTGTCTACGACTCTGAAGCAAACATCATAGCCCATGCTCGAGGACAAAAGAACAAAGCCTGTGGAGCCGAAGAACCGATAGCCAAGCGCAGGACACCGCAGGAACCCCGGCAGGAGTCATGATTACCATGGGACATTCCGCTCTGTTCGAGGAGGCCTTCGATGTGCAAATGGCCAGCATGCCAGAAATAGTTCACCCACTGGGATCGCTGCAGGTAGGCTTCCTAGGCAACAAGGGCGTTGCTGAGAAATAGGTGCTTTTTTTTGCTTGGGCGAGTCTTTGCAACGGCTTATGTATTTGATGTATTTCCGGGCATAAAGAAGGACCTTGTCTGGGACATGCTGCGCCTCCTCAGACAACAAAGCTGAACAGAACTGCAACGGCCACGCCACGGATTGCGCCATCTCGTTGTCGTGATGCCTTGCTCAAACCATCGAAATGGCATCTTCAGCGTGATATGACACAAGCTGCCACCCAGGGCTTGATACATGTTCGTCAACATGTGCGTCGACCAAAAATTGATCCTTAACACCCGTTTACATCGTTCCAGCAAAGCTGCGGAAACTTGAGGTCTTCACCTTGGCACCGTGGTGAGGCCAGCCGGGAGCGCTTTTTGAAGCTAGTTGCGAACAGAGTGCCAGTAGCATCATTCAGTGGCACCTGACACATGTCTCTTTTAGGCCAAGCAACCTCCAGCGTGGATATCCAGGTACTCCCCATTGACGTCTGTGGCCATGACAGAGCACTCAATGTGCCAACCTGTTGCAGCAGCTGCGCATAGCCTAAGAATATGGCTTCTAAAGAGAACCTAAAATTCGAAATCTGAAACCTTATACCTCAGGTGCAGGTGTAAAAGCTGTGATGGGCGTACGAACTCGCACAACAACCAATGAAGACAATGTACCGGCTCAACAAAACAAAAGGATATATGCAAAACATACGTGGCAATGTTTCAAAATTAAACAGGCGAATTGCCTCGGCGCGTCCACACTCTGTGCTCACGGTCTCAACTCTCCCCTTCTCTAACCCGAATAACCATCAGCCTGCAGCAGGATTACAGGGCGAGGTTTAGTGACCCCGGACCCTGGAGTGGATTTAGAGCTTATGGCAAGGTCAAGCGTTCTTAGTTTCACCTTCCGAAGACCTGTGCAGGTGCACTTATTTCGTTAGGTGGGACGCTTCACTGCGCTGGTGCTTTTCAGACATACTGCTTAAGAACATGTCATCTCCGAGGATTCAATTCTTACGCTGCGCACTTTATAGTCGTACTTTCGATCAACATGTGCGCATGCTGTCCTTCCTAATGCAACCCACACAGAATGGGTTTGATGTCAAGATACTGAACTGTATAACTTAGCCATATTGAGGCCCTGAAAATAAGTGTTGGAAAATGCTTCGAAACCCCGACAGAACGCGACTGCGCAGTGTCCATAGCTCCAGTCACGCGACCCGAGACCCAAACTGTCCCTAGTCGGACCAGCCGAGCCAAGACACCAGGACGGCCAGGGCCCCACTTACTCTCCTGCGAGAGCTTCAGCAAGCAAGGTTGTTGGGGGGGGGTTTAGGTTTGAATTACAGTAAACCCCATGAACTTATAAACCCTTATAGCTGAATTCCCCTAAACCCTATGTACCCTAACCCTGTCGCAGTCGATACTTGAAGGCTCGCTTTTGAGCTACAAGTAACCAGGTATGGTTATGAGTGCAAAAGTTGAGATGAGTACTTGATAACCACATTAGATAGATTTCCTAGGTGTACCCGTGAACCGTTCAGTCGAAGCGCAGGACTGAGGGTAAACCTGCAACCTGAGGTCAGAAGAAACCGGGATCCAGGTCAGGGTTGAGTTGTTTTGATTTATTGCGGGCCCTTTTCCAGCTTTAGGCTTGAGGGTGTGTGTGAGATTGGCATCCTCAAGCTGCCAAACCGCCCCGAAATGCCAGAAATACGCTGCCAATACAACTCAGCTCCAACAATCGCAATCAGACTCTGAAACCCTAAACCCTAAACCCGAAACGACATCAAAGCTTGGAGGTCCCAAGCCGGTTCGCCCGGCTTCGACGCCCTCGGCTCTGTCTCAAGAAGTGGGTGTCTTGGCTTCCTCTCCCGTTTTAGGGTTTCGGTTTCAGGGTGTAGGGTTTAGGGTTCCGGGCAAAGGCGAATAACAGAGTCCTGGTCTGATCCCGGTATGAATGTGTGTACAAGGCGGCGCTTTCGGTCAGGGGCAAGAGCTGGCCTCATGCTAGTCTAGGACGCTAGGCTCCAAGAGTTTCAACAAAGTTGGGTGTTTGGACAGAAAATGCCACCATGCGGCTTCCAAAGCGCGAAGTCGTTGGGGCTCCGTTTCTCGGCATCTTCAGCTGCAAGAGCACCTTCACCTTCTTCCATCTCCTTCCGAACCAAATCGGCCGAAACTGCGTAAGAGTGAGGAGGCCAACTGGCAGTCATCCGGACTGTGGCAGCAGTGTAAAACAGCATGCGCCACTTCCACTTCCACTCTTGTGGTTATCCGCTCAAGCAAAATGTTTATTATGACCATAAAGGCAGCTGAGAAGCATAACTGGTGTACTGCCACTGCGCAAGCATCGCCAGCAACACTCCAACCAACAAAGCATCAGTGTCAGTACCAGCACCATCACCAACCACCACAGCCAAAACCACCAACACCAACAGTCATCTCCAACACTGACAACCACCACCGACGCCGCCGCCGTCAGTTGCACCACCACACCGGGCAGTCGTACAGATCATAAGTGCAAACAACCTTGGCATTTGATCTTGCGCTGCTCATGGTCCAACTGCTTCGTGGTCGAAGACGACGACCGGATGACGAATCCAACTGCTCGTGCTAACTAGCCTAGCGCCGACCAGTTGTCTCATGGCCGAAGACTCCAACCTGGGGTTTTGTTCCGGCTATTCTTCGGCGGCAGCAGCCCGTGACGATCATCACTAAAAATGTCAGTGCCCAGCAACCCCTGGCCCGTAGCCCTAGACGCACTAGGTTCGTTGGCCTGCCTTGGCGGTAGCGCACAGAGCCGGCACAAGCTTCCTGCCAAAGGGAAAATGTAGAAGAGCCAGAGAGCTTGAGGACTTGTTCGGTACTGGCTGTAGATGCTGTTGTGCCGAGTGTGGTGTTGCTGAAATCGGTAGTGCTGGCACTGCCTGCCATCTGCTGCTGGCGGAAAGTAGGTCTCATTGACACAAGTCTGCCTATCTCGGACTTGCTAGACAACCAACCCTGCAGGATCCCTTGTACAACCTCTTCGAACCCTGCCCGAAAACCCTAAACCCTCTCCCAGAGTGACCGTGCCCAGGCCTGTAGTGGTAGCCTTGGTGCACGACGAGCAATCTACAGAAAGGGCTTCCAGAAATTTCTGCTCCGCGGAAGGCTGCAAAATCCCAGCAAACTTAAAGGTCACCGCACCTGGGCAGGCCGCAAAACACTCGCGAAAGACTAGCTAGCCTTAAAGCCTCAAAGATAACTATGATTTCGGGCCTGAGGATCACGGGGCTGGAACTACTTCAGCAGAGAAACAGAACCCGCTTCAAAAAGCGCTACGCCGTAAACCCAACTTGGGGGGGCAAAGACCCCGCTAAGTCACCCATCTTCTCAAAGGAGGCGATGTCGAAGTAGACCTGCGAAGAGCTGCGGGAGACAAGTCACATAGGGGCCTTCGTATAGCTCCGTCTGTTCGCCGCCGTAGACACAACGTAATATGTGTAGGTGTGTGTGTGTGTATATATACATATATAATCATATTCATATTCAGGTGTATCTCTGTGTGAGTGTGTGTATTTGCTGCGACATGCGCATAAGCATGTACGTATGTGTGTGTATATATATATATACAAATATCTATATATATATATATATGTATATGTATATGTGTACACACATACGCATACACATACACATGGGCACGCACATGCAATGCATATATATATATACATATACATATATATACATATACATATATATATATATACATATACACAGACACACACAAACACATCCATACACACATACATGCATGCATGCTTACATACGTACACATACATACATACCTACATACAAACATGATGCGTGCATATGTACGAAACGGATACATGTTTCATATAGGCATACATATGCATATACATGCCGATTGCATGAACGCACCACGAGTCTCCTGCATGTTGAGACGGAAGAGGAGGAGGAGGAGGAGGAGGAGTCTGTAGGTGTGTACGCTTGTATTTATGCGCGTATATACTTGAATCTGTTTGTATATGTGCATACATAGATAAGTTGCTGTGTGTGTATATATATATGTGTGCATTCATGTGCGTATGTATGTATGTATGTATGTATGTATGTATGCGTGTATGTATTTATATATGTTATAGTATGTTACAAAAGTAGCCCCACACAAGCCCGTGGACTGCCATCGCTGCGGCAGGGGCACACTGCCACCAGAGCCGTAGGCAACGCCCATCCTCTGAGTATCCGAATTTCGGACAAGGGTTTTGGTGTCTTGGTCTTGGGAGTCATCTACGCGGGTTCGACTCACTATGCAGAAGGAAGGACACAGGCAAGTCTAAACCGTCTGCCAGGATTTGGTTTTCTCATTCCGGCTTAGGTGGACATACATTCAATAAACATATCCAAGGAGCTCTTCCAGCCTCTCAATGAACTTTTGCACACGGCCGTCCATGTACTCCGTGATCCGAGTCCTCAGTTTGTGCGAGAAACCTCTAAAGTGTACCAATGTGGCATGGCATGTGGGGAGGGGCCACCAGCTAGCGACACACCATAATATGCGAGATTCGAAAATCGGGGACCCTAACAGAATCCAACGATAGGATCATTGTTCTCAGGACCCTGAAGAAGCAACCTAAATCGAACTCGACGTTTCGTGTGGGCATGACGAGCACAACGTCTCGTGTGTCTTTAAGAAACCCATATGTGCAAACGAAAGACACCACATCCGGCCGCAGAATGCCCAGGGCGTCCATGTCTTCAAAATACTCCTTCCAGCCATTCCGCAGTGTGAAGTGAGATAGGGGCCTTACGAAGTTGAACTAGGGTCTTGGGACATCGTCTCCTATAACTCTATACTATACTATACTATACTATACATACATACATTACATTACGTTACGTTACATTACATTACATTACATTACATACATACATATATACACACACATATACATACATATATACATATATATATATGGGGACTAAACGGGGCAAATATCCCTATCCAGACCCCTACACTAGGGGGTTTCGTAGGGGTTAGGCACGGTTTGGAGAAGCCTTGGGCAGCCTTACTGGGGCGACGACGGAGCAAGGCTCGGAGTCGACACGTTGTGGGAGACTTGGGGTTTAGGGCTTCTTAGGGTTTAGGGTTAAAGGCATAGGGTTTAGGGTTTTTAGGGTTTTTGGGGTTTTGGGCTTGGGGTTTAAGTGAGATTTTGGGGGTTTGCCCAGACCTAGCAGCTGCAGTACCCTTTGCTTGGTTTCCAGGATTCCTGATTACTTATTATGGGTCTATAGGATCCCCAACCAAAGAAATTAAAAATTGTAAGGCCGCCCAAGAAAAGCTGCTACAATCCACGGCATAGGCAGGGTTCAGCCCCAGGAGAGAGCAGTCCCTGCCTACCGTACCGAAGCGTTCTCAGCTGCCCCCTCTGAGAACCAGCTTTTGCTCCTAAAGCCTGACAAAACCCTAAACCCTAAACCCAAAACCTCAAAAACTTGTGTTTTTGAACCGAGACTCTGCCAATCAGCTGGGAAGCAGCACTGCCTATATTGCAGCCGAGAAGCAGCGCTGCCAGACTTAGACCCACATCCCTCCAAACTTTAAACCCTAAACCCTCTGATGTAAAACCTCAACCCTCAAGCCTAAACCTTCAAGCATAAAACCTATGGGCACTATGGCCTAAAAACCCCAAGAACTAAACCCTGAAACCTGAACCTTACATCACCCGAGCTCCTTCTCGAAGTGCCGTCCGTGTGCATCAAAAATGGAATGGTCGCTCACCGTGTGACCTGCTTCAGTGCTTTGTGTGCTTATGTGCGGGGTCATGCCCGGTATCCGTCCGGTCTAGCTGCCTAAATGCTGCGGAAGGAGCCTCGGTGTATATCCGCCGGATGGGATCCTTTAAAGGCAGGTGGTTCAGACGGTACTGGGGATCCCCACGGAGGCTGATGGGACTAGAAAGACCTGGGGATGACTCTACTAGGAGCCCCCGGACATGTTAGGATCCCGTACCACCACCCGACAGCAGCAGACTGCGAGCTTAGTCTTTACTTTCTGCCTGCTCCGACAAGCGAGGGCTTGAGGGAGCATATGCAAAGACTGTAATTACTCCGTATGTACATGCATACATTTATACATGCATACAGGCAAGTACAGTCGTGTTCACATTCACACCTCATATGTGCAGATGTATACATATACATACACGGCGTAAGTAACACTATGTAAATACGTAAATGCCCACCCGTACATGTAACAAGCCAATCAATGAAACAACAAAAAGTGGTTGTACACACACATATGTCTCTCTCTCTCTCTATATATATGTGTACATGTGCACAAATGTTAACAGGTGTGTATACATATAAATCAATAAACAAAAATGTAAATCTAACTAAACAAATACATGTAAATGTACATATACATATACATATACATATAAACACATACACATACCGATGCACATACACATGCACATACACATACATATACATGCATACGTACATACATACAAACATACATACATACATACATACATACATACAGCGTTTCCAAAAAATAAACGAAAGTTATGTCTCTATATATGTAAGTGTGTATACATATATCATACACATATAAACGAACCTGCGTGCATATATATATATGTATATATATATATATATATATTTGTGTGTGTGTGTGATATACAGGAATTTAAGGTCATGTCTGTCGTTTCCTGGCCTCGCTCTTTGTCGAGCTTCTCCTCACGCAAGACACTGGGACAGCTGTTCGACATGCAGCTCAGGGCATAAAGGACAGGGAGTGGAATGCATTTGCGAAACCCTTGCATTCTCCTTTGTGACACACTTTGAAACGCTTTGAATGCCTTACCCTTCGTGCACCGACAATCCCTGTCCATCAGCACGTCCCGCGCAATTGCCAGAATCACCGAGCTCTTGCCGCTTTCGAAGGCCGCCTGATGATGCAAAAAAGCTTGTAGTTCTGATACTTCGAGAGCCATCGAGATTTTCGATGAACATGGTGTCCTGAACCTCGGCCCACCAGACTGCCAGTATACCTGGTGATTCGAAAATGCTATGAACAGGTGTCGCTAGACTCCACAGACGTACCACGACCGTCAGCCTGAAATTAAGCTTGGCTATAGGTTCGCAGAGACTAACCAGAGTGGTCCGATCACGATGCCCTGCAGCTCATGACGACCGAGAAGCACGACAACAAACATCGTCGACAACAACAGCAACAACAAAAAAGCAAACAGCACCAAACAGCAGACAACAAGCATCAATCATCAAACAACAACAACAACCACCACAACAACCACAACCACAACGACAACACCAATAATAAGAAGAAGAATAACAATAACAAGAACAATAATAAGAACAATAACAATAACAAGAACAACAATGACAACAACGACAACGACAACGGCAACCACAACAACATACTGCTACTACTACGACCACGCCTACGGCTGCGACTGCACTAACCACTTCCACTGCCACTACCGCTCCTCCTCCTCCTCCTCCTCCTCCTGCCTCCTGCTGATGGTGCGATGACGGCGACGACTGGCACCATCACCGCGACGACGACGTATGGTGTTGCTTCCACGACTACGACGGACCACGCCACACCATTTCTGCCACTCTGGGTAATGTTATGGCTGATGCTGCTCCTGTGAGAAAAAACTGCTGCCACTTGTCACTATTCGTGCCTTTGCCATGTAAATACATTGCCAAGTAAACACCAAGCGCACAACCCAACCTCGGTAGAAACTACCCCGTGGCTACAGACTACTGGCTTTCTCAAGTTGATGCAGGTTTACGCCTGCGGCCGCAAGACAAGCACAGAGTTTGTTCACATCTTGTCTACTGTCGTGTGTTTGCCAAGTCAAAGCCATTGCACTGCTGGCAAGGCAACGCCATGCAGTGTGAAAACGCCGTCACTTGGCCGGGGGAAACCCCTTGCACGAAGCCCGAGGCTTACATGGCTTGGTTGTCAGTGTACCAGCTGCAAGCTCGTAGGCATGCTGAATCAGCTACCATGCGAGCTCTGTGCAAGGAGCAAGTCGAAAATCGGTCTGAGCTCCTGATACTGTCCATCTCCAATTCGCGGACAGTGCGCAGTCGGTTCAGCCAGCTGCATGCCGCCATTTGGGCAATCCAGCTATGCTGCCGACCATTACAAATACCACGTGCCCTGAAGTGAAGTCTTTGCATGATGTGGGCTCACTTGCAAAAGTTGCTGATTTTTCCGGCTCGGAGCTCTTCCGAACATCCCCCAGTGGACTCACACTCAAGAGTTAGGGTTTAGAGTGCATAAGGGGTTTAGGGCTTTTAAACACCGCGCGCGATCGCCACCTCGAAAAGCGCGCATGGAAACTAGGATTTGTTTGCCAGATGCGGCAGCAGCTGGTAAGGGCACAAGAATGATCCAAGAACCCACGGTTCTAAGGGTTGCAGGGTTTGGGATGTCGTAAGGCTAAGGGCTTGGGGCAACAGACAAACTTTCATGCCACGGCCTTCCGCGGCAGCAGCTGCTTTTGGGAGATCGGACTTGCTAGATTCAAGCCGCACTGCCTGGCAAAAGATAGAACGAGCTACAAGTGCCCGGTCATTCCTAGCTTCTCGTCCTGTGCTTTCGGATGCTAGGGGCCAGAGCACCAAAAATAATCAATCCGCCTTGTAAAAATCCTTCCCAGCTTACTTTTAAAGTTGTCTTCTGCTTACGCTCTCGTCGCACTGCCACAGCTCACGCAGCTACCACTCCCGCTGCACTGTTCGCGGCAGTCTCCAAGCGCTTAGCTTCCAGCCCACCGACCTTCCATGGAAGCTTTGCCCAAACATCTTGGAACGTCTTCCCCACACCTCGCTGTCGGCTTTCACCGAGCTCCTGCAACTCTTCAGCCAAAGCCTTCGCGGCGGATTCGTGCGAGCTTCCTGGAACCATGAGGAAGACTTCTGTAGCAAATCCCACCACAGCATCCTTCGGACTCTTGTACCGCCTCTGATACTCTGGGCAAATCATAGACGGGCCCTCCACTGAAATGCTTGGACCTGGCGAGGTTGTCTTGTTCTCTATCAGAGTGGCTTTTAGGGTTCTGATTCTGAGAGTGAACGATGCCTTCTGCTGGGGATCCTAACAAAGGACTCTAATTTGCACAGCCACGCACCTTGCTTCTTCAACAACGCAGCCTCTGTGAAATCAATCCAAAGCATGTCATTGCTGGATGGTGACTGAAGCACCTCGGGACTTTCCTATTCTGGGAAGTAGGGGAACCTTATTTACGGTCCTCTATACACAGTACAGATCAGTCACAGTATCCTACTATCTAAAATTTTAACGGTCTCTTTTGAGGGGTCTTATGGTAAGACTTTTACCATTTAAATTTAGGACCCTGTATTTCCTCAAAACTCCCACCTGGACATCAACCCCGGCCACGCCGGCTTCCAGGACACGCACGGCAGTTGCCATGAACCTTTCCATGCGATCTTCCTCCTGCGACTCCAGCGGCCGTGGGTTGCCGCAGCCGTTCTTCACCGAGATGTTACGGCCTGGGAGGCAAGGCGTCAAGACCATGCCTTGACGAGGGCCGGCCGTCGTCGTGACCTCGCCAAACCCGACGCAGCGCGCGATGTTTGGAACCTTGGCCTCAGTTGCCGAACTTCTCATATGTCGCGAAAATGTCAACTTCCTGGCTAGCAGCGTCTACATCTGTAGAATGTAGTACAGAGAACTCTTGACGACTACCTAGTCAGTGTAAGCGGCATCATTCAAGATCTGCAGGACTCTCCGCTCGTGCTCCAGGCTACGCATCGCGTAGTCGGTGTTGGCTCGGCTGAGTTTTACCACCGCCTGGCCGTTTGAGGTATCGGCGGAGAAGACTTCTGCCTGCACACCTCCACCGAGGTATTTGGGATTTCGGAGTGGAGTGGTGCCACAGGAGAAAGTATTCAGGAGAAGGTTCGGCTCTCCCGGCACCTGCGCTCGGACGCGAGAGCGCAAAGATCCCACGGTGAAGATGGCCGCCACGGTAGAGACACCGAGGAACTGCAAGAACTCGCCTCGACCAAGGCTCGATGTCTCGGATGATTGGGGCGATGATTGATCGACGATTCTGGAAGCCCTCAAAGACGGTGGGCCGTTTGGCCTTCCTCGAACAAGGTTGCTCACGCCCACGCGTGGTGCGCTTGCGATGTCAAGCGGAGCCATGCTGGTGAACAGGCTCTGTACAGGCGTTTAAATAGCGGGAATCAGTTGGATTCCTGTCCCGCCTTGAAGCATTTAGATCTTGATGATCTTGAGCCACATAATGTGAAAGAGCAACAAACACAGCACAGTTGCCGACGGTCCCAGGCCTTGTCACTTGTCCAAACTCGCGACATCCCAAGTACCCATCCTCTATGGCTCCAGATAGTTCAGCGGAAATACACTAGACTTCAGGAAAGGATTCTGTATACTTCAAGTGAATCGCAGACCCCACGATAGACTCCAAACCCCAAGACACGTATTATCGATACATATGGAACCTAAGATCGCCACCTGGATCTTCGATTCGAGCTCTGAATGCTGGCCAAGCTTGAGCTGATGCTCTGCCATCGAGGTGGTGTACTCCTGTCCATGTCTATACATATCTTATATATATATATGTATGTGTATATATATATGTATATATATATATGTGTGTGTGTGTCTGCTTTCTTGTGTTTGTGTGTATGTCTATGTATGTGTATATATATATATATGTACACATTGGCTGCTTTCTACTCAAGGGGTGCTGAACGAGTTCTACAGGGGGTGTTTCAAACCCCTGTGCTCTATAGAGCACACGGGTTTGAAACATCACCCGAATAATTCATTACGATATCTTCCTATGCCAGGCTACCAATCCTACTGTAAAAAGCACAAACATCCCTATCCATGTTCCATTTCTGCAACCCTGGAACAGAACTCTAACACAGTGTTACGGGCGCTGGCTACCCTATCGTTTGATTACATATAGGCTGAGAGCCCACAGCCGTCGCCCTAGTCTGTAATTGTAGAAGCCTCATGAAATCCGACTACGTCCCAATCCCCGAATGCGTCTTATGAAACCCTGTGAAAGCCTTCTGCAACCCTAAAGCAGCCTTATAAAGCCTTGTTGGAGTCCCATGGAAACAGAACACACATCCGCAGTGTCCTGCTGATCCTTGGCCGAAGCATCCGCTGCTGGCTTTACTGGCGCCTTCCTTCGCGCATCCAAGATCTTTCGGAGATCGTTTGAGTTCCATGTTGCATCGTTATGTCAGGGCTTATAGACGTCGGGTCTTTTATGGTACTTTCGGGCACTTCTCGACTTCTTTATATGGTATTACGGTTTAGGGCTTCAAGGCTTTCATTGTATTGTTGCCTGGAGGTACTCGTTTGAAAGGTTGAGTGAGCATGCAGATTCATCTGGCTAGTTGTGGACAACTGTTGCCAATGCCGCAGCTCACCCAAGCACGTCTGCCAAGCACAATTGCCTCCTAGTTAACAAGGCTTTGCAGATCATCTGATGAACGGGACCTGTGCAAACACCAAGGTTGAGTACACGCCGCTTTGAAGGGCACGCACACCATAGAATGGCCGCAGCTCGCTCTCAAGAAAGAGAGGCGCTCTCGACTACTCTGCTGCGGGGATCATCAGACAAACTCCATCAGGACTGGAGAAAGCTGACAATGCTGTGACGTCTTCGTGAAGAGTACTCGATGACCATGGAGATGCAGGTGGTGGCCGCGATGATGGTGCCGCTGTTGAAGATGATGCCGTTGCTTATATAAAGGAGGACTGCCATGATGATCACTTGGGCCTTGACCAAAACGATGACGCTGGTATAGGCATAATTCTGATGGTTTGAGCGCTTGCGAGGTTGTTTAGTGCTTTCGACGGTCTGGAATCCGATCCTGCCCGAATAATTTCGAGTGAAGACTACAGCTACTGAGGAATGGAGCTACGTCAGCCAAGTGCTTGCGGAGCCCATGCGTCGCTGCACTCGAAACCCTAAAACCCCCAATGATTCCAAGTCGTCAGAGCCGCCTCCGAAATGGGTGCGGGGAGCAGCCAGGGTTTCATAGAGAAAGCCTTTTGTTGTTTCAAGCTGTGCAGGCAGCAGGACCTTACAGCAACCAGTGTCCGAGGTAGTCAGAAGTGCTTGCAGCTGAAGCCAAGCATCTTCTCCAGCTTCTTCCCCTTCAGATCAACGGCCTCAGCTGCAAGCACACCTATATATTCATATCTCGACTAAGAACGTGGGCATCTAGGTGTCGAGGCCGTAGGAACCCAAGTCAGCATCTCGAATACTTCTGAGAGAGGGCGCGTGAGAACGAGTAGAAGCAGTTTGCATGACACCGAAAGCCCTGTGCATCACATGCACGCAACTTACTTCGCAAGGCCTCAGGTCACGGTGTGTTGACATAAGCTCAGAAACAGGCTTACGTTCCCCGCTACACACAGACGACGCTCTCGACACGCGAAGTTTCATGTCAAACCCGATACCGGAATGATGAGAAGGTCCGACATGCCTTCTTGACAGCAGAGGCACTGCGCTCACGACCTTTTTCAGCTCATCCAGTTTCATCTTCGAGGCTTCCTGCGTCCAGAGTGGGTTCAGGGCTCGGCCTGCGGTTGGGGGTGCTTCAAGATATGCCAGCTACATATCTTCGGTCCCACACGGTTCCCTTTTATAAGCCCCACCCCCAAAAAACGTTACGAATACCAAAAGGCTGGTGAAGTTCGCATGGACCTTGTCTTGCCGTTGATTCCCATCAAGGGCCGAACAACCAACAGGAGCACCCCCTGAGCCTCAAGACGGGAAAAAACAAAACAACACCCGTTCAGGGTTTAGGGCTCTTACTTTCCCCAGCAAGCCACAGAAATGAACAGCCAAACTTTCCGGTTCCTACTAAACTACAAGAACCCAGAAAGTTTAACGGTTGGGTCTTGGGGATCTACGGGCTTGGGGGTTTGGGAACTCATACCAGGGCCTTCTTAAATAAAAAACAAGCATAATGGAGCAGTAAGCATTCCGACCTCTATGTTAAGCTCTTTGTAGCAGAGGACTCTGTCCATTGCCTGAGAGAAGTCGTCGAAGAGCTTGTTCTGCCGAGCTCGCAAGATGATCTTGTCATCAATATCGGTAATGTTAATCCTGAGCTGCTCTTGCTTGCAAGGCCTTACACGCGGCTGAAGGAAGTTTCGTGGTGAGATATTAATCGGAAGTGAGGGGCTAGAGTGCTGTGGTTCGAAAAGTGACAGTGAAGTCCTGTCGAACTGAACTGCCTAAGACCTGATGTCCTGCTTCCGATTAGGGCAAGCCGGGCTGAGTGCAAGTTTCAAGTTCACCTTGCATTGAGGCCTTGAGCTGGACCTTCGAACAAATCATGGCCACAGGTTGATGTAATGGGCTGACAGCTCAGGCTTGCAGTAGCTTCGGAATCCAAAGCTGCATTGCGGCAGCTGTCCCGGTGCTCGACCAGCACCTGCAACATTGCCTGAAGTCAGCCAGGCGTCTGGTATTTGACGTCGAAGCCCAGGTAATTCTGCATGATTCCTGGCAATGCATTGCGTTGGCTTTGCACCCGAGCATGGCCGAACCGCTTTACCGACTGCGCCAGGAGACCAACAAGTGCATTACCACAGTTAAAGCGAACTATACCCTCAGGGATAGCTCGGATAGCAAAAATATGACCCCACGGCCATGGCTCCTCAGTAAAAAGACCTAAGGGCTGTCGGACTGCGGGTCTCTCCTGAATGATTTCCTTATGATTTAGAGTATTGACTGTACCCAATAGTCCAGGTTTGGGGTCGGAGGGTTCAACAGGAACATCCGAAAGCCTACAACCAGGTCGCAAGAACCGACGCTTTAAGAAATCCACCGACCCCCCCACATGAGTCAGATGAGACCTGGCGTCCTCCTCAATGCAACCCCGGACCTGGGATCCTACCCAAGCCCCTGCGCCTGACGGATCAGGGGGGACTTAGGAAGTTTGGCAGGCCAGGGTTGTGTTGAGTAAGCTTCATGAGTGATAAAGTATACTTTCAAGCTTATTGTTTTAAACCTTGCAAACCCAAAGTAACACGGCCCAGAGAACTTCGGAGGATGTCGAAGGTCAGGTATGCTCGGGCGTGTCCCATGTGGGCCACATCATAGACCTGACTTCTTGGGTCCACGAAGCAGGATGAACAATAGAGGGTTTGGGGCTTTAAGGTTTAACGATTACACGGCGAACGGTCCGGCAAAAGCCGTAAGATAATCGGCAGGTCAGGGATCTTGCTTGGTAAATTGCCTGCCGTTTGGGGGGGGGGGGTTGCAGCCGACTTTTCTCCAACGAATGCGCCATCTTGATATTGCTGACAGGTTCGGATCCACACACACACATAAATCCCGAAGGCACAGGCATCATGCATGTAGTTCCAATGCGGCCCAGGTGCGGTCGGACCGCAAGTATACCAAATAACCTTATTCTCCTGCCGGATGTCGGTTTGACGTCCGCGAGCCAGGCTTCGGGAGCTCTCGGCCCATTCAGTTCTGGGTTGCAAGTGTCGCATGATGTCCCTAGCAACCCCCCCCCCCCTCGCCCGCAGGCTATGCAGAAAAGCAAGTCCTTGAGGGGTCTGAAGGACTCCTTTTCCCCTGTCAAGCTGTTCATGACCTGCAGAGTGCATGATGTCGGAGATGAAGTTCAATCTACGAGTCCATCTGGGAGTGTGGCAGGCGATCAACGCGGCCAGCAGAACATGCGAATTGTTGGGTAGGGGCTGCAAGCTAGAACTCTTCAGGTTCTTAAGCCCTATGAGCTGTTACATCCGAACAAAGACCGGGAACGCCTTGAAATCCACTACAGCAGAGCACGGCACCTGCAGCCCGGCGTCCACACCGCCCTGGCCACGGAGACGGATGTGAGAGGAAACACTACAGTAACTGGTTTAGGGTTTAGGGTCTACCCCGACAGCTTGACACGATAGCCCCCAGCTATTTGCCATTTTGTACCAAACTGTCACGCTCAATACCCGAAAATCAGCAGCGTCGATTTGGAAAGCAGGTCTACCAACGCCTCACGAGGAAAACCCGAAAACGACCGTAGACAACATGATTGTAAGTAGCAGGCACATATAAATCAGGTACCCCTGCCAGTAGGAACGCCAGGCAATAAACTCATCTATTCACGCAGCTCCGTATGCACACCTGTATCACA